CACAAGAGAGATGCTATACAAATACAGGCCATTTACCATATAAACTATTCCATTTTGGGTGTTTGTCGCATTGATTAATCTCCAGTGCACTGCTGTCCACTATGATCTGAAGCTAAAACAATGGTTTCTATTTGCAATATATCATTTTCCTGAAGTTTAACTGGCATTTATATATTGAGTTTTTTGTTTTTGTTTATTTATTTTTGAAACAGCACACATTTAAATGTAATATTTTAAATTGAGTGGAATTCAGTGACATTAAAAAATGTGGCCCATCAGGAAGTACGGTGTTTTTTGTGATACAGCAACATTAATGCTGGATATATATAAAAACATAAAGGAAAGGCAAGTGCAGTGTTTTAATTTGACCTTATGGTGGCAGTGTTGTCTCTCTGTTATAAATGGCCCACCCTGTAGATAAGGTGCAATAACAGTATCAGCAAAAAGTCATATAATGTATTATTCATTTAAAATGAATTATACATTTATTATTAAACTGACTAATTAAGCTTTTAAACATCTGGGCTATTAATATTTTTTGTGCTCACCACCACAACATTTCTGGGGGTTTTTTCAACATATCTCATATATCTTTAGTGAAATTATCCAGAGCGGATTCATAACCAGCTGATTATGCATTTTACACTAACTATATTGGCTGTGTGTGGGTTAAAAAAATACACCAGCTCCTGATGAACATCATGTAGCCTTGTGGGACTGTCGATCGAGGACATTGAAGACATCTACCTTTTCAGAACCATGATAACAGGGTTCTTGCTGATCGGCGCTGGCTTATCGAAGAATAAAGAAAGCGGAAACGGCTGTTCAAATTCCCTATTCCGCTATGTTGATTGGAAGGATGGAGCGAGCCGTGGCTTCTTAGAATGGGCTCATTAGACGCAGCACGGATGACATCTTGGAGAAGCTTGCTGCTGTGAGTGCTTAGACTCTGCCAACATCTGACAACATCTTGAAGAGAATCAGGGCTGTCATGAAGACTCATGCTCTATGGGCAAACTGGATAACATCTCGGTGTAGCTGGCTAACATCGTGGAGAGGCTCACGGCTCTCCAACGGGAATGATGGGAATGATGAGGAACCAGTGATGGACATTAGATCGACTGTAAAATTGACATGCAGTGTTTCACACTAAAGCAAGAACGCCACCATTTTTTTCATGTGGCTACCATATCAGTGCCAGCTGCGGTCTCAAGGCTGGAGCTGAACATAAGAAACAATTTCTGATAACAAACTGTGTTTAGACTCTTCGCTCCAAACGCCCTTGTGCACTTCTCCCCAAGGCCGAGTCGGATGGCGGGTCTGGGCCCAGCGCTGGATGAATAACTGCAAGGCAGGATGGCTGTGTCTGCATTGGCTTACTTCTCACCCCTTACCCACACCTGTTGCTTGTCACGTGCTTCATGCTGTTGTGATGTGGACATTTATGTGCTCTTCATGCAGAGGAGTTTTTTTGTTTTCTGTTCTCATGTTGTCCTGCCATAGGAGCCCATTTCGCTGCAGGGCGACTTGCATGTGACAAATAAAGGCTTTCTTGTGTTATGTCCAAGGAAACCTTGTAAGTTGGAACAGTTTTTATTTAATTTGTCTCTCATTTGTGTTACGGTCATAACGTTGGTGTATTCTGTGAGCTAAAGTAGTTATAACTTCAGTGACATGTTAGTGCTTTAACAGGAGAATACCACATATTTTTCAGAATGTAGAATAATGTCAGTGTGTAGTTGTTGATAATTGTTGAATTTATAATACAAATGTTTTAATGCGTCGCTGAGCAGTGAGAAGCTGTTGGAACAGATGAGGTGTTGTGGACGTTACACTCTCAAGACAACATTAAAAAATGTTTTAATTATTTTTCCTCTTGAATCTAAACTTTTTATAAATGTGTTCATGTTTGATTGAGCTCCATTAAAATAAGTAATATTTGTCTGTGAACCAGAATGATGTAAGAA